TTTTTCCAAAGCATTTATTTTAAAATTTAAGTTTATATTTTTAATTAATAATATGTTTAATATTTTAACAATTTATATTTTTTTGAATTTTTTGGCATTTTTAAAAATTTTGGCAATTTTTAAATTTTTTTAGAAGTTTTTTTTTCTGCATTTTGTTGTGTTGCTTCAAAAAGGTATATGCCTCACCATGGGCCTTGTGCCTTGCACTTTGGGCACAAAATAGCCCTTGCGCTTTTTTTGCACCTATCGCTTTTAAAACATTAGGGTTAAGACAAGATCCAACTCTACATGTAAATTCCCCAATCTAGGTGGACATGGAGATACACCTAACAATGTTGTCTTACAGTTCATTATTATAATTAAATGAAGACTTAATGATAATTTCATAGTCTGATAGTATTACTATTTTAATAAGTTTTGCTTATGAAGCTACGTCCAAGGCACCAATCAAGGCCCTAATCTAAACATCATTACTTTCACATGCTCAACATGTATTTCGTTCTACATTTATGTGACTGTTGTTGGGGTGTTTGAAGACGAAGGCTCATCTTGCAATACCTATAGAAGGATCATGTAAACCAGCAAATATAAATCAAAACATGACCCAGCTAAATATGCAAAAGGTTCAAATGTGCAGGCTGATTTGAAATGTGCTTGTATGTCTACACCAGGGAGACAGGTTGCAGCTTTTGAATAACATTTGAAGGTGATGGTTGGATACCCTCATATTTTCTTATTTCTTGCCTCCCAAATTAGGTATAGAAGTATAGAGAACCTGCCAAACAGCCCGTTTATTTCTATTTTGTTGATTGATAGTTTTAGGTGATTGAGCCAGTCCTGCATTGTTTGATGTATAGGGGCTTGGGCTGCAACATCTCAGGGTTAAGGCCTATTTGGGCCTCACACCAAGCTACCCTAGCAAATGGGCACTTAAAAAATAAATGAAAGAAAGTCCCTTACTTCTACTCACACAGGCAACAATATTGATCCTGTAATGTCAGCCATCTATCCACCTCATAAAGCCTTCCATATTGGATTTGGAAATCTGTAAGGTATCTTGAGCTTCCAAAAATGGTTCCAATTGAAATGTAGTTGAGATGAAGATGGGAAGAAGTTAAGAAATGTTCCGTAGGCTGACCTTATTGTGTATAGCCCTGTGCTGTTGCATTTCCACAACTTATCTGAATTCAATTCAGATGATGCTTGAAAATACTGGTGCAAACAACTTAGATTCCATGACCTGGTAGGGTGAAGTAGATCTTGAAGCTGTTGGGTAGAGGAAGTTTTAATTGATGGGATCCAAGGGTCATGAAAGACATGGATATAAGTACCATCCTTAACCAACAATAAAAGAGTAGGCTTGTTCACTTGAGAGAGTAGTTTAGAGCTCCATGCATTGATTCTAGTAGTTCCTTTTGTGAGCATATTTTTGATCTTCACACTCACTTTAGAACCAAGATACTTTGTGCCCTCTAAAGGCTTTTTGTAAAACTTGTGAGAGGTACATTTCTATTATACATGATACTTGATTCCCAATAGCTTTATTTTTGGCCTAAATGGATTGAAATCTTTCTAAAATTTGACAAGAGCTACTACCTGATTGATGTTAAAACTAGGTTAAGTACGGACAGGGCCATTTTAGATTTCTGAATTCCAGCCCAACCTGACAAGCCCATTTCAGATTTCGATAGTCAAATACCTATTAGTCACACCGGTGTTCAACTAACAATTTCTAATGCTTCAGTTAGGGCTGGCTTCAATGTATTAGGGAAAACCCTAGTGTGGAGTTTAAAAATGAAAATACTTGAAGCGCAACTCAAAGTTACAGGAGAGGGAGAGCAGGAGAGTGAGCGAGAGAGAGAGAGGGAGGGAGGGAGGGAAGAGTGAATGAGAGAGAGAAGAAATTTTTGGAACAAAGTTGTAGGAAGAGATTTAAGAGTGGAAGAGACAACGAAAGAGGAGAGGAAAGAGGAGAGAGAGGGAAAGATCAATGGACCCTTCTTTTCTTAAGCAGGATCATTTCAGTCCTTGCATGTCAAGGGCAATTTCTAAATCAAAACAGATTTTTCGAAATTAAAAGAGAAATAAGGAAGAATTTGATGTGGAATCCACGTTGTATTGCCATCTCATAGGCATATTAATAATGCTCTGTTGGCATAGGAATCTGTCTTAAGTTTTCAAAAATTGTATTTGCATGTCTTTCTGGAATCTGCATCGCCTAGATTGGAATTCAGAAATCTGAAATGGGCTTGTTCGTATTTTTCCCTTAAAACCATGTAAAACAATATGCAGTGATTGGCAAATAGAAGATGAGTTATAGGTGTACCTTGCCAACATAACTTAACACCTTCAATTTGATTTCATTAACTGCTTGTTGTAGAAGCTGATTAAGAACTTCCATTCATGTGATAAACAAATATGGAGATATATTTTTTTTATATCTTTTTAAGGGCTACACAACAGGGGGTAGCCCATCACCCAATCCATAAGCCTCCCAACCCAGGTGCAGGTGGGGTTTGATCCCAAGTCTCCACTACAAGCGGAAGGAGACCTTACCAACCAGTTGGTTGGCACCTTGCAACAAATATGGAGATATTGGGTCTCTTCGCCAAAGACCCCTTTACAAATGGTTCTCTCCCTTAATTTAATTGAAAATGTAGGAGTCGAAATATACTAATAAATCATTTGACACCATTTGCTAGGGAATTTCATCCTCTGAAGGACATCTTTGAGAAAATTCCAGCCCATTCTATCAAAGGCTTTGGACATGTCCAACTTAAGAGATATCCAACCCTTTTCTTTTTCTTGAGTTCTCATCAAGTGAAAGATTTCTTTCACTAACAGAACATTGTCTATAATTTGTATGTTCTTTAGGAATCTAGATTGAAAAGGGGAGATGAGCTCTTGAAGAAGCAAAACCATCCACATGGAAATGATTTTGTAAGCTACATTACAATAACTGATTGGTTTGTAGCTGGATGGATCTACTAGAGATTGATTTTTGGGATGAATGCAATGTTGGTACTGTTCATCTCTCTTGGCAAATGTTCAGAGTTAAGAAAATGGAGCACCATATTGAAGATATCATAACCAATCAAATGCCAAGAATGCTGATAAAAGAAAGCTGAATAGCTTTTGGACCTGGTTCTTTGTGTGGAAGCATCTTTTGTTCTATTGTATCGCTTGAGTGACTTTATAAAAGGTGGGGGGTAGAAGCAAATTATCACTTTGTGCATATGATATCTGAGGGACATTGGGGGAGTAAAGCATAGATGGATCAAAAGTTTCAGCTACACCCCCTATATGATGAAAGCACTTTGTGTTCTTGTCACCTTCTTGCAGCCATAGCTCACGAGACTTTAATATCCGTAGTTGCTCTTCCTTCAACAACCAGTAACAATACTACTGTTATAGAGATTTTATTTGATCTTCAACTACAAAAGAAGAAAACTATATTTGTGGTGATGAAATCTGATTTGATAGCCTGTTAAGATGATCCTGCATGTTACCAAATTCTGTTTATTCCAAAAAATCAAGGATCTGTTGTAAGCTTTGAGCTTTGAGGGAACTTGAAATGCTGAAGTTTCATGGATCAACTCACCCTAGTTGGTTGCTATTATTTCTTGGTATTTCAGGTGATCTGTCCAAAATTGGAGAAAGTGAAATTCAGATTTGCAGTGGACTGATGAAACGGTGGTGTCCAATTTGATTGGATCATGATCAAAGTAATTAGAGAGTCAGAAAAATTTGAATGAAACTTTGGGTTGCTACTTGGTAAAATCTTTCTAAAACTTTTGAAATTCCTTGTTGCCCATTATCCCAAGTAAGGGGAGAACACAAATAAATCTGTAAGCTGATGAGATTGTAATAAAGTTCCTCATGGATTTGGACATCTTCGGATTGCTATTTCTATAATTCTTTTGGTCTTGCCACAAGTAAATGCCATACATGTTGCTGAGAACTCAAGGAAGAGAACTCCTGTCCTGTGAGTCTAACAGATATCTCCATATTTCTTTTCTACGATGTCTTTGAGGATGACCATAGAAAAGGAGTAACTGGCAAGGACAGTTTGGAGGGGAATTTTCAATCTGAAGATGGATTATGTTAGGATTGGTTGGATGTCATTGGGACTGGGCTTGGTTGACGTGGTTCTCAAGTCTAACAATGGACTGGTGTGGGATGAATGCAAGGGCCATTTGGTCCGTTTTGGCAATCTTTCCATGACCTTAAGGAGTTAGTTCAACCCTTGTGCAATACTAGTTTCTGCAATTCCATAGGGAATGACTTCCTTCTCCAAAACACTCCCCCTGAGAAGAACCCCCCGAGAAAAAAGGTGCGTACTCAAAAAAGGTGACATCCATGGTAACATACCGACTCCCGGAGACTGGATCATTATAACAATACCCCTTCTGATTTCCTGCATACCCAAGACACTTATTTGCCTTAGGATCTAGCTTTGAGCGGTGATGACCAAGAACATGGACAAAAGCATACACATCCAAACACCCTTAGAGGAACATGGAATGTCTCCCCCTTAGGAAAAAGAAGGCTGAATGGAGTGCTATATCCAAGAACACGAGAAGGCACCCGATTAATCAAGAATATTGCTGTAAGAATTGCATCACCCCAAAAATGACCTGGAACTGTAGAGTTCAACATCATGCTTCTTGCTACTTCCACAATATGTTTGTTCATCCTTTCTGCTACACCATTCTGTTGTGGAGTGTATGTACAACTGCTTTGATGGATAACTCCATGCTCCAATAGGTATAATGACAGTTTTTTCAAAGTATTATTTAGCATTGTCTAATCTAAACACTTTCACTTGTACCCCAAACTGTGTCAGCACCATCTAATGGAATTGTTGAACCAAAGGCGGTACCTCATCATGGGATCTCATCAAATATCTGAGAATAATCATCCACAAACAAAAGAAAATACCGATATCCACCCATAGAGGAAACATGGTATGGCCCCCACAAATCAATATGAACAATATCAAAAACAAAAGAGCATCTCTTATTACTTGCTTTAAAGGAATGTCTACAATGATTTCCAAGTTGACAACCCTCACACTCCAAATTGGATAAACTGACAGATTCAAACAAATTGGGAAATAAAAAACGCAAAGAAGCAAAAGACAAATGTCCTAATCGATTATGCCAAAGCATAATCTGACCCATTGACTCTAACTCAATACTCCTGCTAGCATGATGACTTTAATGATTGGGAAGTGCATCAAGAAAATAGATTCCATTCACCTCAAGACCACTCCCAATCGTCCTCTCTGATTCTAGATCCTGCAACACACAATAACCAAGGGAAAAAATCACAGAACAATTCAAATTCTTTGTCAAGTTACTAATAGATAAAAGGTTAGTGCTCAATCTAGGAACATGAAAGATAGAAGGTAGGGTAATGGTATCAGTTATCCTGACAGATCATTTCCCAGCAATGAGAACATGTGATCCATCAGTTGTGGAAACTCTACCTCTACCAGAGCATAGGTGGTAGAATGACTACCTCCTGATCCACCTGCACCTTGCTGCCCACCTGGTAATGAGTTGGAACTAGTTGTATCCTTCTGATTCAGGAACTGCCCATATCTCTCCAATTCGGCATCATTGCAACTGCTGTAACAGATTCTAGATAGGTTGTAGTAGGTGGCCCTAATAAATCACCAATCACTGCCATATTCACATTTCCCTTCTTATTTTTGAGCCGGCTCAGTACAAGGTGTGGGTAAAGCTTCCAGCAGGTATCTCTGTTATGTTTGGGTTTCTTATAGTAGTCACAGATCATATCCCTTTTGTCCTCCTTCCTCGGTTCATTTCCACCCTTGTCCCCACTCGGCTTAGGCTTCATTGTGCTAATCTCAAGGCCTAGGTTCCTCAACATCACATTCCTCCTACTCTCCTCTCTAGACACAAAGGCATATGCCTAAGAGAGAGTTACATTGTCTCAAGAAAGAATATGTTGTCATGCAATATTATACTCAAGGTTAAGTCTAGCTAAAAACTCAAAAACCCTATTCTTTTCTACCAATTTCTAATAAGTTGCTACATCTTTGCTACTTTCGCAAACCATAGTCTCCAAATGATCTATCTCCTGCCATAAGGTTTTGAGGGTTGAAAAATAAATAGCAACAAACTTATCTCCTTGCCCAGTAGCAATCACCTGGTTTCTCAACCAATAGGCTCTAGCAACATTCTCATTCTATGAATACGTTTCTGCTACTCCATCCTAAATCTCCTTAGCTATGTTAGCCCATAAAAAGTTCTTACTTGTATGGGGCAACATGGAATTACACAACCAAGTCATCACCATGTAATTCTCCTATACCCATTGGGAATGGTTAGTTTCAAGTTTCTTTTCCTCACCGGTGACATACCCCAATTTTCCACGAGCACCAATGGCCATCTTTGCAGGTTGTGACCATTCTAAGTAGTTTGTACCATCCAACTTGACTACAGTGATAGTTCTGGCCCCGAAGAGGTCTCCAACACCTCCTTCCCAGGATCTCATTTCTCCTACAAATTTGTTTTCAACTCCACAGCCCTCCATAACTCCCAAAATAGATTAGGAAATCTATTTGAGATGAAAAAAAAATAGGTATTTATCTCCTTTAGAAACCTCAAACACCCTCCTGAAACCCTAGAAGCCCCTCCCTCCAAAGATTCATTTTTCCGTGAGAGCGGGAGAAGATAGAGAAGGGGTTGTCGCCATAGTTTTCAAGGCGCCAAGGCGAGGCTAGGCGACTAGGGGGCGCCTTGTCGCCTAGTCGCTAGGCGATGGATTTTTTATGTTAAAAACATAGATCCTAGGGTAGTTCCCTAGGTACCATAACCATATTTCTTTAATAATTATTCATAATTTTCATAAAAAAAGTATGGATTTCATATTAAAGTATAGAAAATCAACATACTCATGAGAAGAAAAGGAAGAAGGAAAATAAAATTCAAAAAATAAAGGGCTGAACCCATATTTTTGTTATGGGAAAAGAAAATAAAAAGTATTGGTAGTAGTAGTAGTAGAAGAAGAATATATGGAAGAGGAAAATGTGCTGATTAGATAAAATTTTAAGTTCTTCCTTACTTATTAGTTCAGGTTTTTAAGTGTTTGAGGGTTCAATATAGCATTTAGCAATGTTTGTGTTGATTAAACCCTAATAAATAAGAAAATAATAAAAGGAAATTAATATATAAACACACAAAATGATTATTTTAGTTTAATAATGTCTATTTTATAATTATAATCTCAAAGGAGAATGAACAAAAAAGTATTTTAAAGTAGGGAGTAGAAAACTGCTTGGCAATTAGGCGAGGCGAGCCTCAAAGGGCGCCTTGTCACCTAGGCACCCGCCTAGGCATTGCCTTAACAACTATGGTTGTCGCTCCCTCCAGAGACCTCCAAAAAGGCTGGGACTTGAACCACCCCCTTTAGAAAACCTCAAGGAACCCTAGAAAAGTAGAGCGCCACTTCCTAGGTCAAAATTGAATAGTCTTACTAAAACAAGACTCTCCTCCTTTCTCCAGTTCTTCTTGATTTTGGTGTAAAACCCTAAACCAGCTACAAGGGATTGCAAAAAAATCCAAAACCTGGGATTACCTTAAGTCTTCAATCAGCCCTTTACCTTATCATGTAGTCGGCTGATCTAGGGTTGCATGATGAAGCAGCTCAAGAAATCTTTAAACTTGCTTTGATACCAAGTAGAAAAGTTTGGACAACCCGTTTTGATATAAAAACTGTAAAAGAAAGAAAAGAAAGAGAATAAAAGGTTTCAGTCGAGAGAGAAGAGAGATAGATGAGAATGGGAGAAGCTCATAATTAGGTCTGGCCACCCCTTTCATTAGATTATATACTCATAAAGTCATAAATAAAAGAGAGTACAAAGACAAGTATGGCCTTAGTAAGTGTAGAAAAAACTAATGTGGACCCCACATTACTGTGTTTGTATGACAGCAATAAGTTATGATTAGGATTAGGATTAGTCTTTTAGTAGGATTAGTCTTTTAATTATGTTTATCTTATCTTATCTTATCTTGCCATGTAAGCAAATAAGTCCTTTTACAATTAGAACACTATGTATATAAGTTTAACGAGTGGGGCAGCTATTTCAATAACAACCCACTCTCTCTTTCTCAGAAATCTCTCTCGTGTTCTCTCTCCTTCCCTCTTCTCTTTCTTTTTCTTCTTCTCTTTTAGTTTCTGTTCAAAACCTAAGACCAGTTGCAATCTTGTACGACTACTTGGTATCAAAGCACTCGATCTAGGTTTTCTCATATGGAATTAGTCAGCCGACCACATGAGAATTATTTAGGGCTGAAAGTTTAGAATTTTTTTTTCATTCGGCTGATTCTTGGAGATTGCAAGAAGACTTCAACAACTGTCCAAGGATTGGAGAGTGCTCCTTGTAATCATGAAGAATCAGAGAAGAATTAAGTGATCAAGGTTAGGTCTTTGATCAAGATTAGAGGTGCCGATCAGATTTTCTTTGTTCTTTGATCAAGATTGAAGTTTTCAAAGAGGGTTTTCTCAAAATCAGTTCGTTTTCAAAAGTTTCTGGGATTGATCAGAATCAAGATCAGTTTTTTGAGCAAAACTGAAGTTGGCGATCAGAATTTCAAGAAAACTTTTGAATCAAGATCAGATTTTTCAGAAATTTCTGGGCAAGGTTTTTTTCTTTCTTGAGATTGGCAGCAAGGATAGCTTAATCTGAGAGGTACAGCTATAAATTTTTTTTTTTCTGATTTAGGGTTTAAGAAGAAAACCCTGAAATCCAGGACTGTTACTGTGTCCGGATAGGAGATTAGACTTGTTTTTTTTATGAGAGTAATATCAGATTTCTGTTCTTTATTCTCTGTTTAGAAGTTCTGTTCTCTGTTCTTTCAAAAACCAGTACTGCTGAATCTGATTTCTGTTCCTAGGCCAACTGTTATTAGATTCAGTAGGCTGACTAATACAGTGATACAGAGAATTGAAAAGTGTCTTTTTTTTTTTGTTGATCAATAACACTTTCATTAACTCATCAAAAGAAGATTTACAATAGGAAGACAAACATGCTTATCTTCCAAGAGCAACAAAGAACCTCAAGAAAAGAAAAAA